CAAAATTCTGTTGGAAAAACATAATTTTAAGCAGAATTTTGATTTCTTAGCAGAGATAAGTGTATATGATAGAACATAATTCTGCTTTAATATAAAGAGATTGTGGATGTAAATAATGATAAATGTATGCACAATACAGAATTCTTGAATTCTACTTGTGAGAATTATTGGTGTCGGGTAAAATCACACGTTGCTTCGTCGAATTTAAAGTGATTTAAAATATAAAGCATTTAATCGAGGAACAATCTATTTGGTGAAACATCCTATATTTTAATGACACTTAAATGTGTTCAGCATTTCAAGGACATCTACACTTGATCTCAATCAAGTCTTGTTTATTGACGAAATGATTAGTGAAAACAGTTTTTTATCTGATCTTGTTTATCATGAAAATGTAGATCCTAATGACTCCAGTGCTAATCTCATGATATATTCATAAAACTAAATTTGAGACAACGATTGTATTTTGATCCTTTGGGCAATTTTCGATGATTTAAGTGTAAACATATTTAAAATGCAACATTTTTGTGCTTCTAAACGCGTTAAAGTCTGATCATATTTTAAATTTAACCCTATTATAGTATTGCCTTTATCAACAGCATTTATAAGAACAGGACCATTTGATTTAAAGAATATAGAAAATAAAGTTTTTGGTTCAAATCTACTTCGACGAACAATAGGGATTAGTGACTCATCTCCACCAATCCAGCTTGCGTTAGTTGACTTGTGACGAATTTGCCCAGGGTAAATTGATGTCTCATCACCTGTAATAATATCACATAATCGCCAGGAACCATCACGAAATTTCGCCAAATTTTCGCGACAAAGTCTAAATCGTTCTCGCTTTTGTTCATCATTCAGTTGATGGGGTACCCAACGAAATCTTACTTTTTTCATCTTGAGACAGTGGTGGTTAACTTGTTCTATTATACCATGGGAGAGAGAAGTCTCAGTTATAATATCATCATAGCTTGAATGTGGATCATTGCTGATAACCTGTCGTACCAATTCAATATTTGCATCTGTAAATTCGAAAATCGGACGACCAGATCGAGGTTCATCATTGATATCTTCTTTTCCTTCATGAAAATGTTTTGCCCACCTTGCAACTGTTGGATATAATGGAGCATAGGGTCCCACAGTTGTTGCAAGTTCTTCGTGAATTGTCTTTGAATTTATTCCCAAAAGAACGCGAATTTTTATATAGTATCGATCAAATTCATTATCCGTTTAAAAATTTTTTTTTTAGTTCAAATTAAAGTCTATCTGAAAAACTATTATAACTAAGTCCAAAATAGAGTTACTATACAGGGTGCGTAAAAATGTTTTTCGAGGGGGTAACACTATAATTTCAAATAGCGTACATAACTATTTTTATACCAAATTAAAGCGCGTCG